CAGTAGGAATTTACCTCGAACTCGCGATCAGACGCAGCAGGTTAGCTGCTGACCAGAACAGGTTATGCTGGCATGTTATGGGGCGGCATAAGAGGGATTCTCTCTAATCAATTGAGATTTAGACTACTGGTTTATAGCAACCCCACCAACTCCGCCCTTCAGATTAATGATTGTTAATCACTGTTTGCACCAAAGATAAACCTTATAGCATAAAGAACAAAAATGAATTTCAAATTTTGTCATAACATAAAAAAAAGAACTATTATGCAAGTCACATTAATATTCAATGACATAATAAACTCAGAACTGAAACTGTATCTTTGTGTTTTTGTCTTGATTCACTTCAATATGATGAAATAAATCACACCTAAACTGAATCTTGTATTAAACTCAGTGAAGAATCATGAAGCAGTTTTGTGCAAGTTTGGTGCCATTATTGAGAGATAGAGAGAGAGAGAGAGAGAGAGAGAGAGAGAGAGAGAGAGAGAGAGAGAGAGAGAGTGTGCGTGTGTGTGTGTGTGTGTGTGTGTGTACCTGGTATTCCCTACATTATCAAATGTCTCCTCAAGGATAGTAATACCAGTACATTTTGTCCTTGTGGAGACTTAAGGGTTGGAGTAAGGGGGATAGAAGGGATAAAAAATACAGTACAGTATAAAAATCAAGTCTATGGAATGTTCCTATAAATCATGTAAATGTGTGCGTTCAGTAACAAACCCGTAATTCTTTAAGAGTAGTAATCTCTGCAGCCACAGAAATATGCGTTTAAATAAAAACAAATTATAAATGCTTGCTAAACTCTTTAGTGTAATAACTCTTTAGTGTAAAACATCTTAACAACCAGTAGGGGGAGACAGGTAAACTGATGCATGTTTCTGCCTGTTGTAAACTAAACTAAACAGACAAATGACCAAGTTTCATTTACAGTTTTTATAATATAGCAAACATGATGTGCACTAAATATTGACAAAAACTATTGTCTTTGATGTTGTAACAAATCATTGTTGGGCTCAAAGACCTCTATAACTTTCAGTTTGTTCCGTCTGCTATGTTTAGATAAAGAGTTTGCACTGTGATTTCTGGGGCACTTTCACTTGTGTACCTTGGGCGTCTATATTACATTCAGAGCATTTATTTATTTTTTCATCTTTTAAAGAGAGAGAGAGAGAGAGTGTGTGCGTGTGTGTGTGTGTGTGTGTGTGTGTGTGTGTACCTGGTATTCCCTACATTATCAAATGTCTCCTCAAGGATAGTAATACCAGTACATTTTGTCCTTGTGGAGACTTAAGGGTTGGAGTAAGGGGGATAGAAGGGATAAAAAATACAGTACAGTATAAAAATCAAGTCTATGGAATGTTCCTATAAAACATGTAAATGTGTGTGTTCAGTAACAAACCCGTAATTCTTTAAGAGTAGTAATCTCTGCAGCCACAGAAATATGCGTTTAAATAAAAACAAATTATAAATGCTTGCTAAACTCTTTAGTGTAATAAATATTTAGTGTAAGACATCTTAACAACCAGTAGGGGGAGACAGGTAAACTGATGCATGTTTCTGCCTGTTGTAAACTAAACTAAACAGACAAAGGAGCTGCACACAAGCTGACATGAAAATGACCAAGTTTCATTTACAGTTTTTATAATATAGCAAACATGATGTGCACTAAATATTGACAAAAACTATTGTCTTTGAGGTTGTAACAAATCATTGTTGGGCTCAAAGACCTCTATAACTTTCAGTTTGTTCCGTCTGCTATGTTTAGATAAAGAGTTTGCACTGTGATTTCTGGGGCACTTTCACTTGTGTACCTTGGGCGTCTATATTACATTCAGAGCATTTATTTATTTTTTCATCTTTTAAAGTATCATCTTTTAAAACCTTAAAATATATTGTCTTGGGTGTTTTAACTCACATGGTATAGCATTATTCTTACACTCCCTAAATCAAATAAGAAAGTTTATTTTTGAATTAAGAAGTTGAAATTTGTGACACAAGGAAGTGGTTTTGGGTTCTCAGTCTGAAGAAAAACAAGAGACCGATGCAAACAGAAATCATTTAGACACCGCAAATGTACACCAGTGATTAGCTCTTATTATAAACAACACTGTGGTCATGGTAAAACATGCCAAACATATGTCACTGAACAGGCACTGCAGTGCACATTTACTGTCTCGAGCGTTATGCTGAAACATGAATTTTCAATAGATATATCATTTAATAATTTTGATTGAAAGAAGGTCTGATTGCCATGCAGTGCTTTTTTATACATGTGAATTTTGCTAAACAAGCTGTGGTGTGGTGTGCTTTTGTGTTTACATTCAAATGTTCTGTTCAGTTTAACAAATGTGCCATTTTTTAGCACTTTTAACATTATCAAATTATATTTGAGCCAACATCTATAGTAAGCCTAAGAGACTTTGGGGGGAACGAAGGCTTACAGCAGATGCTCAGAGATTTGAAAGAAAAAGGTTAAAAAATTGAACAACTCAATGGAAAAATGATTTCTTAGGGTACATTTACACGACACCATTTTCAAATAAAAATGGAAAACTTGTTATGCATTGTGCCTACATTGTGTAACATGTCGACAGCTTTGGGGGACCTGTAAAATATAAAACACCCCCGCAAATTTATGAAAACAGTGACTTTATACGTGTGTGCAGACACGAAGCGTTTCTTTACAATGTGACATCGCCAACTTCTGGCCTGGCATGCATAATACAGCCTTTTATTTTTTTTATTTTTTTTGTGGATCCGAGAAAAAGGGGATCGAAAAAGAAATACCTTTCCGATTTCTGATCAATGTGTGAGCTTCCAGATAGTCAGGAATAGTACTAACAGAGATTGAAAAACACTTATATTACACACTGTGTAATATATTTTGTCTTGTAAAATACAATGTCAATAACATTAAATTAACTATTTGTATTTGCATGATTTGTTCACCCAAAATGTTTCTGTGAAGCACAAAAATGTATGAAATTAGTTCATAGTGTGCCAAATGATCAATTATAGAATATGGTGCTGTAGCAACAGGTCATTAAATGATGATAAAATTGTGAACTATTTCTTTAAGCAACTCTCTTTGCCATATTTAGAGGAACTGAGCCATCATGGGTAACCTCAACTTGATTACTTCAGCAGATCTCACAGTATTGGGGTTCCTGTTGGTTGCACGCTAAAATATTATTACATATATTTCTATATTTTTGCTGTCACTCCCATAACCATGACTGGTCCTCCCTCCATTAAAAACGTTTCCTACTTAATATTGATTATGCATACTTGTCCTGTTTTATCACATTACATAATTCCCTGCATGTGCGATCTGTTGTGTTTGAACTTATGTGTCATTCATTTTATTTTTAGAGCATCCTTTTTTAGTCATCGTAATTACTTTTAACGTTTGCCTGTTCAGACTATGTCATTGGTTTTGCGTGCTTTGTTTGAGAAATTCAATATCAATTTTCCCTATTTAGATTTGTTGGTAATCCAATACTTGTGTCGCTGAATAGTCACTAATTGGTTGTTAATTTAACTTTAAGCGTTAAAACATCCATTACCTAAAGCGCCCATTCATCACTGTATAATGGACACAGCAATGGCAACAGAGGGAGAACCACTGTGTTATGTAAGAGACTCTGTCCATGAACACATGCTAGCATTCACAGTTTCATTATGTAACATTTATCTGTTGCTTTGTCTCTGTTAATGAATGTTTACTGGCTTGCATTGCCATGTTTATAGTCAATTTTGGAGAAGTCCTTAACCTGCTTGGCATTTTTACTTTACAGATATGTCACAAAATGTTTACTTCACTTGCTGATTCTGATTCTTCAATTCAAAAATGACTGTATATTGTATAATAATATAAACCATGTAGTAGATAATGGTCTTCCTGTCATTGAATGGCAACTGATTCATATAGATTCTTATAAAATATATCTAGTTTTGTGTTTCACAGGAACAATAACCGCATACAATTTTGGAACAGCATGAGGGTGAGTAAATAAAGTTTTATTTTAAGGTGTTCAAAGTTCTCCTTTAATGGCTGCATATGTGTGCACGTTTCCGACATCTAAGAGGCTGATCAGAGCATTAGTACGTTCGGTGCCTTGATAAGGATCTTCAGAAAATGTACCCACATTTCCCATTTACAGACTAATGTTAGTGTGTGCACACTGCACTATAGAAACCATGCAAACTGACATTTGACACACTGCAGTCTGTTTCTTAGTAAGGCTGAAAGAGGAGGAAATAGGACATATCTATAGACGAGTGAGATGACAGACCAAATTCAGCGAAAAACCAAATCAGTCCACATGATCGCTGACTTCCTCTCTAATGCAGAACACGCTGTTCTCAATGACATTTTGTTCTGCATGTTATGCAACCCCTTGCCAAGCATGGGGAACAGTACTGTTCAAAATGCCATATGTATGAAAGTACTGGTTTCTGTAGGTTCCTCATAACCTCTTTTAACTCTTTTCCATTGGTATCCCAAAGGAACAAGGAATATTTCATCTTTGTCATCTTTTAACTCTCATGTCGTTCTAACCACAAAGAGTACGCCTTTCTTCTTGTGGAACACTCAAGATAAACTTTTGAATTTTATCCAGGCCACATACACATAAATGAAGTATCACAAAAATTAACAATAGTATCATCAATAAAAGTATCATAAGTTTAAGCTCTATTCCAATTTCATGAGAATATCAGTCTGTTCGTCACACAAAGAAGACTTGAATATATTATGCAAAGGTCATATGGACTACTATTTGATGATATTATATTTATACCACTTTTTAAAGATTGAAATATAGTTACCATTCATTAAGAGCAACCAGTACATTATTCACTTGGAACAACATGAAGGTACTCAAATCAATTAATGTTACCAAATATCCCAGTGTTCATATAGTGAAATAAACTTCATAAGACTTAGCAGCTTTTTGAGACTGTCAGAAATGAGTTCAAACAGCGTGACCTCTAAGATTCTTTATTGTAGTGAAATAAAGAGTAGAAATAAGACAGAAATCATGTAATTAACAGCTGTACATTCTTACTACATCAAAATTCTTCAGATACCACCAACTATTTTACTATATTATACAATTGAATTATTTTAACTGTCTATTTACATAGCTTCATACTGGCAAGAGTTTAAAATGATTCAATATTAGCATATGAAATTGCTGTAACACGTTGAATTCTATGTGTCACTAATTTAAACAGCTTAATAGTTGCAGGCTATTTTAAAGCTGAAGTGTGCAATTTTCTATGTTAAAATGCATTCTCCTACCATTGCTTAATGTAACTATAAGCAAGCCATTTTATGGGTTGATTTATCTGAAAAGTGTAAACATTGTGGCACTATCAAAACATTACTCTGCTTGGTTAATCATCCTGTCCAGCCCAACAAAGCAAAAATAGTTCAATCAATTACGTAAGTGGGTGGAGTGCTTAGGAAACCTGTTTGAAAACAATCATTGTTTTTGCAATTTCACTTGGTGATGCTAATCACAAACAAATTACACACTTCATCTTTAAATCTTAGCAGGAGTTCAGTATTGCAATTGAGTAAGAAACACTCACACATAAGATTCCTTTGCATAGGAGAACTCCTCAAACACAGGCTGACTACACCTGTGGGACACTCGTTCATGCCTCGACTGGGACACTGACTCAGACATGGCCCTCTGCCGGAACGACACCGGCTGTGGTTCTTCTAATTGAATGCTTTCTGTGAAAGTTTCTATGTATTCTGTTGGTTCGTTAACTTTGTAATCGTCCAGCAGGTAGTCGTTCATGGATATGGGGCGAGATTTCCTGCCAAGCTCTCTGGCGTGTTGGACAGTCATGGCCCTGTACTGCGGAGGGGCCGGTTGTGCTCCAGTCTGCAGCGCCTGCTCATAGGATGGGGGTCTGCATGGCATAAGACTATCCACATGTTGGAAGACCTCGATGGCTGAGAGAGGCCGTCGACGCCGAACAAGCTCATCGATGTTCTCTGTCTCATTTTGTGAGTCCTCTTGGAGAGTTTCACATGGGAAGACTACTTCCTTCTGGGACTCTCCTTTCTTTAGACTGCCTCTGTTAAACGTAAAGTTTCCAAGGCTTTTGGCCCTCATTGAGAGGGATCGTCGGGTCACTTCCTGGTCTCCTTGGGCATTGCTATGTCTAGGTTTACTCATAAAGGATGAATGCCTAGTAGACTTGCGGGGGCTTGCAGGGGACGGCTGGGGTGACGTGGTTATTGATTGCTCTGAGAGATTTGAGGAGGTGCTATCTGAGGAACAGAACGATGGGCAGGAACCAGCCTTAGATGTTGGAGAAGACACACTAATTGGCAAGTCCATGTTCAAAGTCTTGGCCATCTGGGATCTTCTGTTCTCACAGCGGTGGGGATGCAAGAAAGAGTCATCCGAGTTCTGCTTCTTGAGTGGTTGGTCGTCAAAGTCTTCCTTCTCTGTCGAAAAGTTGTCATGGCTGCGGGCAAGCTCTCTTAAACCCGTCATGGGGGCAGAAGGAAAAATGGAGGGCTCAGAGCACCGGCGATTGAAGGGATTTGTGAAAGAATCAAATATAGCTTCAGAGGAACAAGAATGAATGTCAGAGCGTTCAAGTTGGCATAGACCTGGGCTCCCATGTGGCATCATGTTGTCCTCCTGAGACCGGCTCTCAGCTTCTAGACAATCACAATCGACATCAGGATCTGTGCTGTCGTATGCTGAGTCATGCTGGTGGACATCAAAAGAGATATCAGGGGACACCAGCGAGGCTGAATCTGTAGAAAATAAATCAAAGTTAAAGGTCTAGGTGGCTGTGTCATGCTATCAAAACAATGCTCTGTTCATTGGAGCCAGCCCAACACAGCAACATTTGTTCAACCAATGGCATGAAGTTGGTACTAGACTATTGGTGTTGCAATTGTAAATCTGAGACTTTACCCTGTATTTCAAAGCCTGCTAGATGGTCTAACATGCTAATTAAATGGCCTTTAGCTGGTCCAAGCTGATCATTAGCTTGTTCAAACTGGCAAACTTCATGAATCGGCTAATAGTTTGTCATACCAGCTCTAGGTGGTCAAGCAGATTGTTGGAACAAAGTAGCTGATAAACTAACTTCTGCTAAGCTTGCAATAGCTAATGGCCAGACCAATTAGACCAACTGTCATGTTCCAAAACACAGCTAACAGCTTAAACTGGATTTTCTAACAGGGATTGAGGTAATGCAATTCGATTTGGCCATACTAGGGGTGCAGAAACATCTGCTTTAAGGCCATTTTTGAAAATGCAAAAGTATTATCATCAGTCATCCTGTTGAGACTTGAGGTTGCAGTAAACCTCAAAATCATAAATGGAGCTCTTAATTGGGAAGATGTTAAGTAAAGATATTGGGAAGTAAAATGGCCTCAGAAAGGGCTCATAAATGGTGCATAGATGTTAATGTAAATTTAAGAATGCTATTTTTTTTTAATAGTTATAAATAGTTATTTATTTACCTGAGTTGTCTATGGACTCCTGATCCTCTAAATCACCAAAAAGCTTCAGGATAGCATTTCCAAATACCTCACAGCAATTTTCGATAAGGAATTGGATAAGATTTGTGGCCTTAATAAAAACACAAAAGAAAAACATTAATTTCTATTTCATATAATGCAATGTATCGAGTTTTGTATGCAACCTAATGTCACAGTGCTTTTTGTGTTGTGGTTTCTATGCATCTAAAACCACATCATGCATATGACAGTGTGTCTTAAATCGACAGATTAGTCAAAACGAGACTGCAGAGGTGTATCAAAAAAATAAAACATTACTGAGACTTCTGACATACATTCTTGCTCAGACACTGATCCAGACTAAGTTTAGTGATATAGGCTCATGTTGCCAGAACCAAGGCAGACTTTAAATAAATAATTTCATGACATAACAGATTATTATTTCGACTTTTCTTATAAAAAGGACCAAGTGTCTGACCTTTGCTACATCATCCCTGTCTAGGGGCTGGCTGTCACGATGCAGCAAGGTTGGAGCAATGCACACTGCCAGGTTCTTGGCATCCATTTTGTTGGTTTCTGAATGCTGACTGATGTGGTGAAACAGGCACAGCAGGTGCTGCAGGAGGAGACTGTTTGCTTTCGGCAACTTCTCAGCCATTCTGAGAGTGGAGAACAAACAAAAAAACAGTTAGGTCCTTTTTCTATTAACCGCTCCTTCCATTTTTTTTTTGATGAGGGAGGAAGAACAAAAACAGAACTGTCCTTCTGACATTTTGTGGTCAGACTTCAGCATCTAATTTCCCTATTTTCAAATCTCTGAAGAGTACATAGAAAGTCCACAGAAAAGCCCCATTTCTACCACCTTGCCTTGCCAGGGACTTTTTAATAGCCCCCACATCTGTTGTCCGTTTCTCTATACCATTCACTCTTAAACTACAGTGAGTTTATTGCTAGGACACGAGATAGTACTACTTACCTTCTCAGCTCTCTCTGAGCATCCTCTGTCCTTTCTTTCTCTAGAGCACTGATCCAGCTTTCATAGTGCTCAAATACCAGCAGGCCTCCAGGGAGTTCCTTCAGGAAAATCTATCAGTACATAAAAATAAAGAAATGATTCATTGTTTCACAGACACGTCAGAATGGAAAAAGGGGCGTTGACATGAAACATATACAAGCAAAAGCTGAGCCTACTGTAAATATGGAGTATTATTCACCTTCAACAATCCAACCAGGAGCGTCACAGGCAGGGCTTCCATGTCCACCTGGGCTCCAGAGTTCAGCTGTTCTTTGAGAGCATTCAGGTTTTTGCTGTTACATGAGACTCTGAAGACACCCTCAGTAAATGGACCCTTCCTGAACAACAACAGGAGTATTTCCTGTTGGAGGACCAAAAACATGAGAAGACTGAGGAATTGAAATCTGACTTAAAGATGAAAGTCAGAATCCAAAAAGCAGCCTGTTTACTTTCTTAAATACACATTCCTGGTCCTGCGCATGATTCATCAGTTCATGTTATTCCAAAGAAACAGTCTTCATAATCTTTCATCAAAATGACTCACTACACATCTGAAGCAATTTTCCTTTTCGAATGGCATCAAGGCAGCTTCACTTTTTTGCATGCCATCATTTTCCAAGACCTGTTTGGCAAGGATTTTGAGTGATTCTACAAAACTAATAAACCTGCTGTAGCTTTGGCCATGTTTTTGTCTTTAATCAAAATTATCTTGAACACTTCTGATTGAGGTCTGGATAAGGTTAGCAAGAAACTGCACGACGCCTATAAATAGAATCATTACATGTGCTACTGTACTGATTGCATCTGTGGTGCAGATGTTTTTGTAGACAGATTACTTGTTCTTGGACAAAAAAAATAAATCGAGAGTTTCAGAATTTCTTATTTATTATGCTCCACTTATGCATTTATAACAGGTACTAAATGACACCTCACCTGTGTAGAGTATCTAGCCAGTGGTCCTTTAGCTCAGGCAAACTGCAAGTGAGAGAACATCATGGTGTGAGTTAGTAATCCACAGAGAGTGCAGTGCGCGTGAATATGAAGAGGCCACACTCCCTCGACCTCTTTACAACAAAAAGGGCAGGAAAGTCTCGGCGAGTCATGAGGGCAGGAAGCAGCATCACAGCTACAGCTACCACTTCCTCATTTCAGAGTGTGGCTTGGTGACAAGCGGAAAGTTTATCTGTGCGACTTGGAGTTCATAGATGCAAGGTAGGTTAGGCCTAATAAGATGCTTAGGATGGGCGACTGTGAAATGTGTGTAAACATTTATATTTTTGGATTAGTATGAAACATGGATCCTTTCTGCAGAATTTCTTTTCTGCCTTTCTCACATCTTGTTTCACACTTTAGGTGTGAGGTTAGGTGTGTACATGTGAAATACACATATGAGTTATCTACTGAATATTTGTGTTGTGAAATAGCAAATACTAATCTATCTATCTATCTATCTATCTATCTATCTATCTATCTATCTATCTATCTATCTATCTATCTATCTATCTATCTATCTATCTATCTGTCTGTCTATCTGACTATCTATCTATCTAGCTATCTAGCTATCTGTCTAGCTGTCTGTCTGTCTGTCTGTCTATCTGACTCAGAATTTCTTATTTATTATGCTCCACTTATGCATTTATAACAGGTACTAAATGACACCTCACCTGTGTAGAGTATCTAGCCAGTGGTCCTTTAGCTCAGGCAAACTGCAAGTGAGAGAACATCATGGTGTGAGTTAGTAATCCACAGAGAGTGCAGTGCGCGTGAATATGAAGAGGCCACACTCCCTCGACCTCTTTACAACAAAAAGGGCAGGAAAGTCTCGGCGAGTCATGAGGGCAGGAAGCAGCATCACAGCTACAGCTACCACTTCCTCATTTCAGAGTGTGGCTTGGTGACAAGCGGAAAGTTTATCTGTGCGACTTGCAGTTCATAGATGCAAGGTAGGTTAGGCCTAATAAGATGCTTAGGATGGGCGACTGTGAAATGTGTGTAAACATTTATATTTTTGGATTAGTATGAAACATGGATCCTTTCTGCAGAATTTCTTTTCTGCCTTTCTCACATCTTGTTTCACACTTTAGGTGTGAGGTTAGGTGTGTAAATGTGAAATACACATATGAGTTATCTACTGAATATTTGTGTTGTGAAATAGCAAATACTAATCTATCTATCTATCTATCTATCTATCTATCTATCTATCTATCTATCTATCTATCTATCTATCTATCTATCTATCTGTCTGTCTGTCTGTCT